TATATATATATATATATATATATATATATATATATATATATATATATAGATAGATAGATAGATAGAGGGAGAGAGAGAGATATTTTATACTTGTTATAATTTTAGTATAAAATTCCACTGAGATTTTGCCCATAGCCACAACTTATCGAACAAAAATGTCTACAAAATCATAAGATTTTACAGTGTGTGTCTCACCTGCTCAGGTTGCTCAGGTTGCTCAGGTTGCTCAGGTTGAGGATGGCTGTGAGTGGACAGTCCTCTTGACGGTCTACGATAGTGAGTGTGTCCGGGGTGACCGTGGTGTGGATGAGGAGGATGATGGGGATAAAAGTGACCATCTTCATAGTTCTCAGCAATGAGCTTCATCCTACTTTGGGTCTGAAAAAAAGGATAGCAATTTCAAGCACGTTAAACCTTTAGGAAAGTGACAAAATTAGCCAGTTACTTTGAGGAGAAATTATTGTATAGTGTAGATATTTGCAGTATAGTAATCATTAAGTAGTTTTCCCCACTTACTGTATATAAAATGGTAAACCTTCCATTTTGTTTGTGTCTTGTTTATATTATTTAGATATACTTACAAAAATGTGTACATTAAATATTCCTGGTGATTCCAAGCTTCCGAACACAACGTAAGTCAGTTTGACAACTACCAATACAATATGTTCATTTAATCAAGGGATTTTCTGAAATATTCTGTTAGTATACATAAAGAATAAAGCACAATGATGTGTATTGACAGGTAAATGATCACTTACAGGGTGGTGTGGTACTGTTACCACACAGACGTTTAATTATTTTTCAATAATACCTCATCCTGAAGTGTTTTATTCCTCGCATTCCACAGCAGTTCGACAGTGCTAGCAGATTTTTCATTTATTAATGAATGATGTTGTACATTGTATCTGTTTATAATTACATTTAATGTTGTGGAACGTACACAGAACAAGTTAGTTCCTGTTTTCACTTATGCTATAGCAGCTATAAACAGTCATTCCCTCACTGGATTTTCATTCTTCTCCCTTCTGTGAGAATTCTGTGAATTTTTGTCTGTGGCATGAACATCAGGTATCAGGTGTATAAGATTAGGGTACAAAATATCTTCATATATAAAATTTCTTAATAATGAGTTGAACTGGAAAGTATTGCTGCATAAATTGACTCAAAACCAGTTTATTCTTTGTTAATGAACATATCACTGTCCACTGTCCAACATTCTTGTTTATTTTTACAGAGTTAGTGTTGCTTCCAAACTTTTGGTCTGCAGGGCATGTCTCCATGCAAACAGCTCAGCACTGGCTAATTAACTACACCTTTGTGAATATCTTTTCATCTGCATGTCTTCCATTGCTTATCTACAGTGCCATAACATGTCTAAAAGAACAGATGAATAAAATATGTCTGATTCACACTGGATAAACGATCTTTATACAAATTACAGAGATAGGAGAAAGTTCCAAGCATAGTACACGCACCTTTTGACCTTCATTACCGTTTGTTGTAGAGTTCAGCCTGCACATGTTGAGCTTGATCATTGCACACATAACCATAACACGTACGTAGGTGTTACTTGTTCTAGAAACTCAGTAATTTACCAAAACCTCCGGAAGTGTCAGTTCTCTGAAAAGTCTTTTACATTTTTACAAATTTTTCTGTATTTTATTGTTCTGAGTTTTTAGCTTTTTCTGGTTGGTTTTGGTGGGAGTTGGACTGAGAACAGCACTAAAATGGATTGAGACCAAAAGTGTCCTGGGATTTGAACCCATAAGCTTTCATTTACACAATTTTATACAGAATTTACCAGTAGTGTCTCTTGCCTTAAAGTTTGTGTTTTTTTCCCCTGCACAGCCTGGAAAAAAGTCCTGCTACTGTTTCCTGTGAAACTACACATATTGCATTGTGCCATGTTTGTCAGTGTTTCCTTCCATCATTAAACTATCATTTCAATTTGCTTACTCGATGATTTAAAACTATATACAGCTCGGTTTCTTAACTAACCCTGTAAGGTAAGTCACACAGCTAATTGGTGTGTCTTATTATAGTGTCTATTATAGACATGTCATAAATGTCATATAGTGTACTGTGGTGTTTATTGACATATCTCATTAGCTGGGGTCATGCAGAATCTGGAGGTATATAATTTTTCAGTTTATGATTAAAACTGACAAGCAATATATGCAAAAGCTGACAGGCCTTAATATAGGTCTTAACGTGTAGTAGACATTAGAAGTTGTGGTGATGTCATACATTCTCACTCAATGCCAAGTGAAAATAAACCTAATGAAGTGTCTCGGTTTGACATAAAATAACATTACTCACTACAATTTATATTCAACTATATTCTGATCCTCATCAATCCTCAAGAAACCAGTTAGGGAGAGTGGGTATGGAAAAAGGAAGAGCTAGAAATCAAACATTTAATCCTTAAACTCCCAGTGTATTATTTAGATAATTTACCAAGAAAACATATTATTTTATGAAATATTTAGTGCCTACAGTGAAACTAATAACAAAGGTAGTGAAGAATGTAAGCCTGGACCTGATGATTGATCCAATTAAATGGCTATAGTAATGTTTTTCTAATATGTTTACACTCAAAGGATGTTCTGTTCCCTATCCTCACCACCTGGGGTCTCTCAGTCAGGAAATCCAGGAACCAATTACAGAGTGTACTAGCAAGAACAAAGTCTCTTAATTTGCTCACTATTTGCTGGCTAGGAACTACCAATTAATACAAAGCTGTATAGTAGTGTATATATAAATAATATATTGATGATACAGTGTTCTATTAAAAACCCATAGTGAGATATATATATACACAATATGGGTTAATGCAGTATGTACTGTTGAGTTTATACACTTGTGCACATGTAATACTGTCACACAGCTTTGGATGCAAATGCAGGTCTGCTGAATCCAAGGCAGACAAACCAAAGTGGCAGAACAATAATCAGGAATTATAATTAGGTGATACGTGAGGCGATTGGCAAACAGACAAAACTAGACAGAGGCAGAGATCGTTAAACAAACAAACTGAACTGGGAAAATCTAGGAACAGAAGAGAAAGGGCTTAATAATATCACAGACAAAAGCAGGAGCAAGACTTTGCAATTATTTTATAAATGTTTGGGCTATTTATTTGAAAAGGGAGTCTGATCTGAAATCTGGTGAATGTGAAGGCATAGGCATGGGGTCATGTGACGTGGTTTTTAGTTCGTTGATGTACAGCGAATTGTGATTCAGGATTTCAATGGAGACTGGTATTACGTGAGATCTGACAGAACACAGAACACGCCACCTTTGTCTCAATCCAGGAGCTCAATAAAGTTTCTTATGAAGTTTCCCTCTGGGGCAAGGGGCTGGACGATCAGGGTGATGTGCATGAAAGTCTTTGATCACATGTGGGTATAAGAATCTTATTGGGCAGTGGTAGCTCAGTGATTAAAGAATTGGACTACTGATTGGAAGGTAGTGTGTTCAAATTCCCACTATTGCCAAGCAGTGCTTGGGCCCTTGAGCAAGCCCATTAACTCTCAACTGCTGTTATATAAATGTAAGTCTGTAAGTCTCTGTGGATTATGGTGTCTTCCAAATGCTGTAAATGCTGGTACCCAAATACCATTCCTTGGGTTCAAGTTCCTTGGGTTGATTTTGTTTGAATTTGAGTACGGGTCTCATTGTGTAGGCTGGCTGTCCTTCCAGATTCAATCTACCTGTTCAAAGTGGGGGGTGGCAGAATGATAATGGTCAGCAAATTCATTATGCTCTCTGACTGCTTGATCTTGACAAAAATTTTGAATATTGGTCAGTATAGTTTCCCACTAGTATTTTGTCCCCAGAGGCTGATGTGTACTGGTGACTACTAGATAATGTGTGGACACTGATGCATGGGCCCAAGTGATGAGTTTATTGTGGGGGTACATAGGTGTCAAATTCAGGGCATTGAGGAGATTGGGCAATCTGAAAGTTTGAGTGATTTCTTGGTCCACCTCTGAGGTGATGGATGTGATGAAGCAAAATTCAGAAATATGGATATTCTTATTTTAAGGGTGCAGGGTATAGTCTTGAGAAGATCACTGCTTTGGTGTTCTTGGAGCCTTGTCTGTAGGAATTTTATGAATTTTTAACGGGAGAGAAACAGTGCCCATTTTGTGTGATAAAGCTTTAGACATTTGGCCCTTTTTAAGTACTCTAGGTTACTGTGATCTGTGTTCGGATAAGAAGGATGCTCAGCCAGCTCTAGCTAATGGCTCCACTCCTCCAGAACTAGCTTTAGTACCAGCAGCTCTTGATTTCCTCCTCCTTAACTCCTTTTGACAGGCGATTCCCTTGGTGTTGGGAAAGTACAGTCCCTAACCAGTTTCAGTACAGCCCCTACCCAGTTTCAGAAGCTTCCACTTGGTGGTGATTAAATGTATGTTCCCACTGGCAGTTTCAGCCCCCATGAAGAAGGGAAATGGAGCACTGCCACTATACAGCTGATATTTCCAAAAAACCTTCTGTTGAAGTTTGCAAATCTAAGCTATTTTTTGAAGATTCCTAATGCTACTTGATAGTGATGTAGTTCAGACCTCAGCAATCTATGCATGGATGAAGCACTCCCCCTTTGAACAAAGTAAAACCTGGCTGATACTGGTGACAGATGCCCTTCTGCACCAAGCAGGGTCCATGAAGATATAGTTTGCCAAGGTTAAGAGTGGAAGAACTCAAGTGGCCTGCACAGAGCCCTGATGTCAACCCCACTGAACACCTTTGGGATAAACTGGAACAATAACTCCTTCTCACCTGACATCGGTGCCCATCCTCACTAATGCTCTTGTGGCTGAATGGGCAAATCTCCAAAGTCATGCTCAAAAATCTAATGGGAAGCTAGATTTTTGAACTTCCCAGAGAATTGGAAATGATTATAACTGCAAAGGGGGACTACAATGGAATGAGTAAGCACATATGGGTGTGATGGCCAGGTGAAAAGTCCACAAACTTTTAGCCATATAGTGTATCTGACTAAAGTTGGTCATTTTGATATTTTATCCAACCACTGTACCATTGTAAAAAATCTTAAGTCTTAAGGGATATCATTCATTCACTGATTTAATATTACCTTCCTTGCTTTATACATACTTTCGCTCGTTTATTCACCTTCAGTAATCTTTTTATCCTTGTCAGGTTTGCAATGAATGTGGAGCGTATTCTGCACTCTTATAAAATGTAGAATCCTTAACGGTTCTCGGGTGTCTCCCTGGAAAGATTTTATGTAGAACCCTACAACAGAGTGTTTCCTTATTAAAAGGGTTCCAAGTAGAGCCCTTGCTCTGGAAGTGAAGAACCTTTATCTGTCTTGAAGAACCTTTGAAAAACATTTTCTTCTAAGTGTGTAGAAACACTGGGAGCAAGGCTCAACCTGCCGTGCTGCCACGGCATCTGTCTTAAGGACTATTTCTTTCTTTTTTTTATTACAGTCCTATTAAAGTAATATTTTACACAATTACTCTATTAAAAGTTAGGCATTGTGCTGAAACATAACGTTACCAATAATTTCTCCTGTCCTTATGCTTAACCATCTCTCTCTCTGTTCACTTTTTTCACTTATTTTTCACTTTTTTTTCAGGTCAGCTGCTTCTATAGCATATCTGTCAAGGTCATTTTTTTATGTTTAAAATGGATTCTGCTTTACTTCTAAGCTGGCTTGGAATAAAATTACTTGCCAAACTAATAAATTCAAATAATACGTGTAAGTGTAAATGAAAAGTAAATGAAGTATGACTGTCCACTATGAAATAAATCAGAAATATTTTTTTTGCAAACAATTCCTACATGCTTTTTCATGTATAGTTTCATGTCATTTGTGTAGTCACAATTAAATTTTTTCTAATATTTAACAGATATTACAATTTATACTTCTAGCTGCTTTACCACAACTAAGGAATGGCTTTAATCAGTCTAACACATGATGCAATGCATATAAATTAGAGTGATACCCTAACAGAGTGAGAATAAGTGGAAACTCAAAGGGTGAGGAGATCAGCCTTGTCTCCTTAAGTCACAGAAATCACCATATTCCCATGTTCTTTTCCTTGACATACACACACACACACACACACACACACACACACACACACACACACACACACACACACACACACACACACACACACACACACACACAGTGTGTACAGTTACAGCACTGCACTGGTGGCTATCGGAATACCACCTCCATCATTTGCCTCCACATCAAAGCATGGAATTCCAGACAGCATCCATCACACAGCAGCAACTGGCAGAAAACTCTAAACTTAGACTGATTTATGGGAACCCGCTTTTGCAGGTAGTAGGGAAAATACAATGCAGTGCATGTGTGCTCATACATGCACAGCGACAAGATAGCGGAGCACACAGAGAGACCAATGCAAAGTATGTTTAGAACACGTTTATGTTCCCTCTCTTCATATATGGCTCTTTACAGGATAATTGAAAACATCCACAGAAAATCTATTCTAATCTATTCTATTCACAAGAGTACCTGGGTACATTTTATTGTGTGTGTGTGTGTATGTGTGTGTGTGTGTGTGTGTGTGTGATGAGTGCTGAGGAGATGGCAATCTCCAGTATTTGACCTTGACTTGTTACTCAGGTCCTGGTCAAGATGTCTGTCAGCATATCTTCTAATAGCTGACACACTACACTATGAAGTGCAGATTGACGTGTGTGTGTGTGGGTGTGTGTGTGTGTGTGGGTGCATGTCCAGAGAAAGAGAGTGAGAGAACCACAGAAAATGAGCAAGAAAGAGAGAGGGACAGTTATCTCACATCACACACAGAGGAATTTGGGGAATTTTACACACATAGTATAGGAAGGAAGTAATGTACAGTTGAGAAAATGTGTGGTGCGTTCCTAAAGTAGGTGTTTTTTTTTTTTGTTTTTTTTTTTTTTTTACCATGTGCATATTTACAGTTGATTAGGCTATAATCTGTTTATTGTCTGTGCCTTGTTGTGAAACTGTGTGGACGTGGCAAGGTCCTATGACCATATGTTCTTGATTTTTCTAAATGTTTAATTATGGGATGCTACGGCAAGTGCAAAATCAGTGTTGCTGCACTTGACAGTATCATTTTACATGGATAAAATGACAGTTTAATAGACTAGTTTAATAGATTTATTTGCTACTACCTAATTTCCATCTGCAGTCCTTTAACCCCTCGGATTATCCTAAAATCGGTACATTTAAATTTTTCATTCAAAACAGAAGGAATTATTATATTAATTTGACAACTTAATATGGCAAATTAAAAGCACATTAAAATAGCCTATACTGCATACATCACAACTGATTAAGCAGAACACATAGCAGAACAGTCTGGAAATAAAGTAGTGAGGGAATAAGAGTTACAAAACAATATGCAGTTAAAACATTATGCGTACAAGTAAAAGTATATGTGAAATACTATACCAATATTCTGTTAGATTACTAATGATGTTTAAGGAGCAGTTGATGTATTAGGTAGGATGGATGTTGATGCATTGCATCTGCTTACAGTTTCAGAGCCATGAGCAAACAGGAAAAGCATGCGTTTAACCTACAAATCCTTCCTCTTTTCCCAGAATTCAGCCTGAATCAGCCTTGTTAGCAATGGCCACTAGCAATGCCACTGATGTGGTCTGATGTGACCTAAATGATTGATTACAACTTATTAAACCTATGTGAGTCAAGTAATCAACGGACAAATCATAGCCTAAACACTAAGGCTGACTTAATAACAATGGAGTGTAATTAAACCTCTTACTAATCTGGAGAAGGTCCTGCAAAACATCAACCACCCATTTGGAAATGCTATAAAAGTACCGACGGCAATAAAAAGCTGAGAGTATGAGAGTGAAGATGATGGTTCATTGGTTTTCTGTGAATGGGTGAAATTATGTGTGATGTCACAAATAATCCAGATTCCACACACCGAACCTGACAGGTCAAAAGTGCATGTGAGCAATAGGACATGCCCCAGGTCGACATACACTGCGATTAATGCAGACATTTTGAAACGTGGAAAATATACATGTCATGATACTATATTCATGTACTATATTCATGTAAAATGTTAGGTCTTTGTTTTTGTGAGTTTACAGGACACATAACTGATCTGACAGTCCTTTACCTGTTGCTTGAGCTGGTACATGAGCCTGTCCTTTTCTCTTTTCAAGGCCATCACCTCCTCTTGGCTTGTCTTCGTTTTGGGAGCAGAAAGTTCTAGTAGGGCTATGTTAGCATCCTTTTCGCTGATGGCTGCCAACAGGGCTTGTTGCCTGGTGGGAAATTGAGGATGATAATGTTGGTTACGACCTACGGTAAGTCGTTAGATTAACAAAGACCAGACACAAACACACAATACAGCGAGTTGCGCACACAAATACACACACAGCCACACAGCAGGGGAGAGTATCCAGCCGGCAGGTGCGCTAAGATTGTTAGCATACCAAGGAACCGCAGTATCCACAACCCCCTGCT